TACTGTGTTGTGCGTCACCAGTGTGTGTGTGTGTCCCCGCCCTCTGCTGCTGCTCCACGCCTGTGTGTCGCTCGTCGTGTGCTGCCCCCTGCGCTCCGCCCTACCCTCACTCCACTACTCACTACCACACCCCTCTCACTCACTACCACTACCTATAACCCCTACCCTACCTACTCCTACTACCCTACCTACCTATACTACATACCCTACCTATCACTCTACCACTACTTACTACTCACCCTATTACCTACTATATACCCTACCTCTTATCTACTACTACTCACCCTACCTATTTACTATATATATATATATATTATTATATATAGTCTAAAATTTACTACAGATAGCTGATCCTCATTAGTGTAAAGATAGAGAAGAAAGATGGTAGGCTCCAGTATCTTTATAAGGATTACAAACTGACGATCCTTACAGAACTTGAGAAAAGAGATTACAATTGACGATATCTTCAAGGCCAAACGCGAAGTTCCACCTTCGCGTTTTTTAATTCCAAACACAGAGGTCATACTCGCGTCCCAACAACAAAATGCGGAGCTCACTACCGCATTTTTTAGCTCAATACGTGGAACTTACTACTGCATTCCAGGTTCAAGACGTGGAGCTCATTTTAGAACACGAATCTCGTGTTTGACTGGTTCAAACATGACCTGAATGGTTTTAAAACCGTTTTCCACGAAATAGGACCATTAAACCTGAAGAGATTTATGGGGGGCGGTTATACCCCATAAGCCCCCTTTATAGAGCAATTTAAGGGGGTTTGATCGTTTCAAAATGGTTTTCCACTTAATAGGGCAATTAACCCCCCATTAAGGAGCAATATAAGAGGGCGGTTACACCCCTTAAACCCCTATAAATAGCTGAGAGATCATGTCAAAAAGGGGTTCGGATCTTGGCTTGGGATCTTCGGATCGAATCTTTGAGAGACTTCGGCTGGAGCTTTTGGGGAGATCAGAAATTATCTTGGCGAGGGGGGGGGAGATCTTGGGATCATCCTGGAGGATCGGCTTTTGGGATCGCCTTGATTTTGGCTTTAAAGTTGAATGTTGGCTTTTCGAAGCACCTTGATCGGCTCTAGTTTAACCTGCCTAGCAAGTTTATTTCGGCTAAAAGGGATTGAAATTATTTTCTCAAATCAACTCTTTTGCAAAGTTTTCAACTTGCTCGTCAAGTTCTTCTAAACTCGTTCAGAGTTCTAAAACTTGCTTTGCAAGTTCGTCCAAGACATTGAGTCAAGAGGCAAAGACAACGTTCCACGAGTCGAAACGTTCGGATCGTCAACGGGATACAACATTCAAACTCCCATTGACACCGAGAACAACTCAGGTTTAAACAACATCACTACCAAATACAAAATTTGTGCTTGGTATCAAGCATACCCATATTTCTCATATATATATATATAACTATATTATATTACTATAATAATAAGTGAAAACTCCGGTATCAACCTTGATAGTGGATAGCAAATAAGTGTGATCCACTCAATAGTTTTTAACGCACTCATATTGCCTAGGGATCATGTGTTATATAACAAGGTTGTGTTTATGTATAATATTATGTGTGGTTTAAGGAAACTCTTGGTGGACATCACTTAAGTTGATAGGAGTCTTGCTCTATATATTATATATATATATACACATCCCCGCCCGCGCACACACACACATGACATACATACATATAACGCATATACTACACTACATATATATAATATCATACACACACAACACAACACACACACACAGCACACATCACACAGCGACACAGCATCCACACACACACCTAGTATATATAGTATAGTATATATATATATTATATATATAATATATATATATTAAGTATATACTATAATATATATACATATATATAATATATAATATTAAGAGACGAGAGAATGAGAGAGAGAGAGAAGAGAGAATAGGGTATCCTTGTCCATATGAGCGGCGATTTCCTTCTTGAAAACTGATGTAAGCCAAATCCTCACCATGTAGATATTCTCCTCTGCCCTACGTATTAACTTTCCATGGTTGCGGGATGTGTGGGCCGACATCATTTTCAAGGAGAACATCTCCTCGGCCTTGACATAGGACCACTCATAATCTCATATGTATATATAACATAATGCTGATGTATATGTGTAATAATATGCATGATATAGTAATATATATATCATATTAGTATATATATAGTATATATAACTAATATATATCATATATATATATATATATATAATATATCTATATATATATAGTATATAGTATATTATATATATATATATATACTAGTATAACTACTAATATATATTAGTATAGTTA